GGACCGACCCCCCGGCCCCCCGTGGCTGGGGGGGGGGGGGAGGGGGGCCCGCGGACCGGGTTTGAGCCGGAGCGGCCGGTCAGAGGGGCCGTTGGCCGAGCGAAGCCAGGCTGAGGAGGGCGCGGGGGCGGTTGTCACCCGGCCTCCCAGCCGGGGGGAGCAGCGGGAGGGGCCTCTCGGCCCGCCATGCCCGTGCTTCAAAATGGGGACCCCTCGCTGAGGGCCTATTTCAAGAAGCACGCCATCCCGGACATCTACGAGGTAAAGAAGCCGCCTCGGCTCCGGCTCAGTCGGGGTTTAAAGGCAGCCCCGCGCCCCCCCAGAGCGGGGGGGGGGGGGGGTAAAGCGCTCCCCCCGCTGGGGGCTTTCTTGGGGGGGGGGGGGGTGTTAGACCGCGCTTCCCAGTAGACTGGCTTCCTGGGAGGTGGGGATGATGGGCGGTGTAGTAGGCACGTCAGGAGTGCTTCAGGTGGGAGGGCTCTGAGGCGTCTGTAGGATTTACAGGTAACCATGTGGGGTGGGGTGGGGTGGGGGGGTGAAGGAAGACGCTGTGCAAGAAAATCAGTTTGTCCTCGAGTTTCAGTTATTTCAGCTCCTACCTGGCGGAAGCGAGACTTTAAAAGACACATTTAAGGGTTTGAAATCTTGGCAGTATACAGTCAAGTGCTTGAAGGGCATCATTGACCTATAATTAATACATTAATTAATTGCAATCCTAAGGATACTGATTTCCCTCTAGCCTGGACTGCTTTTAAATTAGGAGTAACAGAGACTATTTAGGCAATAGTAGGTTTCTGTGGGTTCTTGAAGTCCGCGTAGGAGGGTTGGAGAGCAAGAAAATAACTTATTTTATCCCTCAAATAAGATATTTTGGGGGAAGGAGCTTTGTTTACATACACAGGTGCCTAATTTTACTCCTGGGGTAAAGTAATAGCTGGATTTTGCCCTTAACTAACGGCATCTAGAAAAATAGCACTCTTCTCCATGGAAAAGAAGGGGATAAAAACAACGATAACAAGGCTAGGCAGGAAATGACAGTATAATATGTACCCCTGTGCTGGCTTTGAAATGAACTTTATAAACCTGAAATGGATTAATGAAATCACTAAATCACTGCATTTGGATCTAAACTTATCTAGATGTGCCAATGTATATAAATCAAAACAGTAATCTATACCATAAATAAACAGAATTATTCAGTGCTAAAATACCAACACCAACTTTGACAAATATTTATCATTTTCAAAAGAAAAGGTCATTATTTACTTAGGATTTTCTAAAATGAAAACTTAATATCAGGCTTTAGATATGTTTACACATACACAGTATTTGAAAAGTGATCCGAGTTTTGCTTAAAGCAAAAGCTTCCGTTTAGGTAGCTTTTAATAAGCAGTTTTCCTGTTGCTACTTTCATGAACCCCCTTTTTAAATATATTTTTGCTGCTTTATCTTTTCAAATGCCTTCCTAATCAATGTAATACAACAGGCCTCCTCTCTCAGAATTTGCCTTATCTAAAGGCAGAATGAACATCCTAGGATAATATCACTGATCAATGTATTAAATCGTACTACCATATTACATTAATGTCTGGAGAAATTGGAATATCATGGATAGCTGGGGCAGTTAGCAATTGGTGCTGGAAACTCAAAGCTTGCAGATAATTGCTAAGGTAAAAGTAACAGCTCAAGACCAAGAATTCTTAGGCCCTTTGTTTGAATCTAAGGGAAATACTGTATAAGGGATCTATCATTTCATCCTCCCCACACTCTATTACACTTTTATCATATATATGTAGTAATTAAATCTATACGATTAAATTTACCAGTCACGTGAGATGCTATATCATATTGAGTAATGTAAAGTTGTCTGTATCCAATTAAATGTTTATTTCTGTAATCATTTAAATGATTATTTGTTTACATCTATAAAGAGGGCTTGTAACTCCACCCCTCTTTATTCTGCCTCCAGTACTGAAATCTGTTAATAAACCACTTTGTGTTTCATTGTAATTGTATCCTAGTCTCTGGTTTAAACATATCTCTGGGAGAATTTTCCTTCAAAATTTAATGTCTGCCCATCCAAAAAGACTGGAACAAATTCCCCGATGTCTATATTGTTGTCTAAAGTATTTATCTGAAAAGCATTTATTGATTCTATCAAAATTTGAATAGCTTGTCCTGCGACATTTATCAGAAGAATGAAGAATATACTGTTTTTTGAAATTGTTTATTATCCCTTTTTAAAATGTAAGGTGACAATAGCTGTGTGAAATATGTAAGCAGCTACTTGAGGAAAAGAAAATTCTTTTCTGTGGAAAAATGAGAAGGAAATACAAAATACACCATGCTGTTACTGTATTAATTTGCTAGTTGGCTCAAGATTATGGTTAGTAGTAATGAATGAAATGGGATATTTGGCCAGTAGGTGGCAATTGCAGATTTATAATACAGTTTCCTAATCAGAAAGGAATTTAATGAACTAAAAATAATAACACGTTTAAATAGTAGAAATTTATCTATTTATGTGATATTCTACCCTTCTACTCAAGGAGGCTTCCACCAAGCCATTAAGACCTGGCTTTTCTCTCAGGCATTGGGCCATGATGGGAAGTGAGTTATTTGTGTTTTGAAAGAATAGTGTTAACAATGTTCGGTTTTTAAACCTTGTGTATTTTATTATTTGTATCTCTGATTGTTAGCCGCTTAGGATTGTTTTATATAATATGGGTGGCCATATCAATTTTTCAAAGAAATAAGTTCTGTTCCAAAGGATGGTTGGTATAAGTCAGTGTTGTCCAAACTTGGCCACTTTAAGATGAGTGGACTTCAACTCCCAAAATTCCCCAGCCAGCATGGTATAAGTGAATCAGCAGTGGGGACAGGCCATTAGGATTCTGTCAAGCAGCACCAAGCCCCAGGTTCCTGTGTTCCTATGTGGCCATCAGTACAGTCACTCAGAGGGGATTTGAAACATTCCTCGAGTTTCTTAATATGTTAAAATTAGGAATCCTTATTAATTGAAGCTATGATTTTTTAAAAATGTTTGATCCTGGCTACTTTAAACAAATTGTGGCCTTAATTAACCACAATTTGCCTTTTTGGAGATATAAGGAAAAACTCTGGTTGGTTAAATCAGGAAGGAGAGGCTTTAAGTCGTCTTGTCATGCTGGAAGAGGGGAGGAAGGGCAAAGCACCTAAGCCCAAGGGCTTTTTTTGCAGGAATGGGTTGTCACAGCAATAAAGCGATTAATTAAGGCCAACTTTACACATCATCTGTCTCCTCCTGCTCTTCTTTGACATATGTTTCCCTATTATTTTTTTTACTACAAAGAAATGTATATATTTTATTTGATCATGGTATCTCCCCTACCAGGTAGGTATTTAATTTTACCCCCTCATATTCCTACAACACTAATACCTCAGGTGCTTCCAGACTTTTGTTTTCTGAATGTCACAATCAGATGTATATTGCCATTAATCTAATTATCTGGTCAGAACTTTTACTTCTCAGACTGCAACGTGATTATTCCTTGCCCAGGAATGGGAAGACAGAATCAGCTGAGAAAGTGTCTCCCCTCAGCAAGGATCTGATGGCAATATCAAGAGGCCTCTGCAGAGAAGAAAATATTCCCACCCAGCAGGACTGGACAAAACTTTCAAAATAATTTTGAATGTGTGGGAGTGCACAGAAAACATTTCTTTCGGTGTTTGCAAATGAGTAGGTGTTATGGCTGTGCAAAGAGCTACTCTTTGCAAAAGGATGGTCATAAGCTTCCATGTTCTATCTTTGCTTGCTGCTTTAATAACTTACAAAGGACTTCTCTTTGCAAACAGCTGCATGTGAAGCCCATTCTCCCTCCATACGTGTGCCAGTGCAAGGACCATAAATTATCATTAAAAAAGATCATTAATGTATTATGGTAGCTCAAGTAGTCACAGGGCTGACTACCAGGAGGGAGTCAAAAAAGTCAAGATGGCAGGTACAACCATGCAATCAAAACCTCACCCTTTTTTTACATATATTGTGACACACAAAAAAGGGTGGGCCTTTGATTGTATGGTTGTGTCTGCCATGTTGACTTCTGACTCCCTTCCTGCAGGCACTACTTGAGCAGTCAAGAATATCCACATTGGTGCCAGCACTTTGTGACTACACTCCTGTTTGTACTTGCACTTAATTATAGCACAATCATCCTCTGACAGCACTTACTTTCCCCCTTGGCCTATAATGTTGCCTTTATGTTATCCTCAGCCTGTGGGTAAGATACCATTCATTTGTTGCTCCTGTACCAGTGTAATAGTAATATTCCTCCCCCACCTTATTCCAACTGCCCAATGACAACCTCAAAATGTGCAAAATTTGTTAGGCTTAACTTCCCCCCACTAAGGTATGTCAGGTGACTTCACAGAGTTTGAGAACAGAGTCAGGATTGGCAATGAGGACAGCAATTTTTCTGCCAATATTGATTTTGTCAACTTCAGGGTGGGTTGGTAGCAGTTTACAGTGGGAAAAACCTCTGTACCTACCTAGTGTGAATGGGGTAGATTGTATTTGGGCAGGACTGCACTCATTCATATGATAGATGTGCAGGTAGATCTGCACAATTTTCACTTTTGACTCTCCAATATCTATGCATTCCATATTATTTGTTTGTTTGTTCGTTTGTTCATTAAATTTATACACTGCCCATCTCCCCCAGAGGGTGATTCTGGGCGGCATTCTATATGATCCACCTAGCGATGAAGAGAATATAAGAAGATGCAGCTCATGTTAACAGCAATTCTATGGACTATCCTTTCCAAAATAGGCAATTTCTTCTGCCAGAATTGGTAGAATTTAGAGTTCTTTGTCTGCAAAACTCCAAAACTCACCCACATGGCACTACATTATCCCTTAGCATTACTTTTGCACTGTTTCCATTTTATTTGCAATTTTCTATTCACACATATTAATTTTTGACTTCTTAAAATATTGTTGTAGAATATTTGGAGAAATAGTATTTCAATGACAAAAAGCAAAATGTATGATCCAGTCCAGTAGAGGGTGCAGTTGACAATCTTAAAACATCTCTGTAAATTAATATTTAAGAAATATGTGTACCTGTACTTGTAAGATTTCCTTCGATTTCCTCATTCCACTGTGAGAGTATTTCATTCCTATTGAAATCAATAGGAATTTAAAATTATGTTTTGGGTGGTGTTTTTACTCTTCTATTTTACTAGGATTATTAATTTCTTGAAGCAATAGTTATAAATGAAGTTGACATTGAAGCAATATGTTATTTTGCCTGTCAGGTGATATGATTAAATTGATAGCTTTTTGTTTAAATAATTGTGCCTTTAGATGTAATTATATCTTTAAGAAGTGAGATGAAAAATGAAAAGCTCCTTTTTTCAGAAAATGTACAAGCAAAAAGAAAAAAAACGATTGTGTCCATTTTAGCTCATGTAGCAAATAAAAGGGGGAACAAAGCCATAACAGGTATTATATTAAACCTGTTAAAAGCAATTATTAAGGAATAAAATAAAAATATTCTAAATGAAATATTTTAACACTTGTATGATTGGATAATACTTCAGTTTCCTAGCCTTTATAATTACAATTTTGGTTAATACTCTAAGAAAAGGACAATTTCATAATCTTCATAGTCCCAGTAGTAATGTAACAAACCAGCAGCATCTAACATATTTACAAATTTATTATCGTTTAAAATTTCATGAACTAAAATCCATGTTGCTTCTGCCATAATAAATTTGTTAGTCTTTAATAAACATATTTGGCTGCTTTTGCTACAACACCACTAACAAGTTTACCTCTCTGGAAATAACTTTTATATGCTAATGGTCATACGGTACTGATCTGTTTGCTGTGAAACTGGAAATTTATTTATTTATTGGATTTGGGGATTATTCAAGTCCCAAATGACGCTGGACAGCTTACATTTCAAAAACAAAACAAAACCAAAAAATAGAACTGTAGACATTTGGAAAAAAATGCAACACAGCAGAAAAACGACAGAAGAGATCATCAGGGGCTCAACAACACTCTTACTCCAGGCCTGGGAGCAAAGCCTGGTTTGCAAAGAGTTCTGGAACAACTAAAGGGTGGGGGCCATACAGATTTTTAGGGGATGCTATTCTAGAGGGGAGATCCATGACAGAGAAGTCATGTTTTCTTCCTCCCAATAGGTGACATTGTTTAACTGAGGGTATCTGAAGTGTGCCCACTCTGCCCAATCATACTGAATGGGTAAAACTATGGAGACAGGAGATCCGTCAAATAACCATGCCTTATGCCATGAAGGGCTTTATAAATGATAACCAGCACCTTGAATTGCACCCAGAAGCCAACTGGCAACCAGTGCAACTCACAAAGCAGTGGTGACTCATGGGCATATTATTCTATGCCCATGACTGCCCACATTGCTACATTCTGGACCAACTGTAGCTTCTGAATGGTCTTCAAGGGCAGCCCCATGTAGAACGCATTGCAGTACTCATTAATAGCAATGTTGATTTAAAGATAATGAGAACTTTGAAGAGCAACTTGTATATGATGGGACTGATGGAACATAAGTTGCTTTCAGGGAATCTTATTGTGGCAGAAGGCTAAAGATGCAGTCAGTGGCAGTGCTGCTTGCAGGGAACACCTTTGTTCAATTTTCAGATATCATCCTTCTACTAAGCCTTTTTTGCCATTATATACCCCTTTTAGGAGAGTTCACTGACTTGAAAATACCTTTAAGTAGGCAAGGAAAGGAAGTGGGAAACTCATATTTTATCATCCTTTTTCCATGTTCCTTTTTCTGGATCCAATCCAAAGTTTCTACTATCTCGTGATTTCACCACAGTTTGGATGCATGGCACTAAGCTGAAAAATATAATTAAATTTCCTTACACGTATAAATTACAGCATGTAAAAAAATGTACAGTATGTAAACGACATGCCTAAATTTACAGACTGAGCTCTATAAACTAACAAAGTAAGAGACTCATGGAGATATTTAATTAAAACAGCTATAGGAAGGAAGTCATTATGATAGTCTGCCTATTTTAATAAATTCATATTAGAGAAGCTGATTGCTACTGCTGTATTGAAGAAAGAAATAGAAGTTTAAAATTTTTATGCCAAACTTGCACTGAAACTATTGGAAAATGCCTTCCAAATCAAAATGTTATATAAACTCAGCAATAAACAGGAATAAATCTTGAAGTAAAATAAAAATAAAATGTTGAATTGTTTTAATGAAAATATAAAATATTCTAATAAAAGAGTAACATCTAAAAATAATTTTACTCTGTTCATAACAATTTTACTCTTTTATTAAATGTATCTTTTTATTAATCAGAATTCTATTTCTTGATTTTATTTGCAGGCCTTGTTAGGTGGTTTATTAATTATGTGTCCAGAGGATCCACTCAGATTTTTAGAAGAAAAAATCAAAGAAATAATGGAAAAGGGTTTATATAGTATTATATGGTATGTATAAGAGGTTTGTATGGCCTATAAATATTGATAACAAATGTAAAATCAATATGGGGAAATATTTATTTTTTATAAACCAGTTTGACTGGGACAATATAAGTTCCTAATAAATGAGTTTTTAGATTAATAATAGAATAGAAAATATCAGTAACGAATAAACATTCTGAATGTCTATTAGTAAGATGTCTAAGTAATCTGAATTAATACTATTTCACGTTAGTCATTAATCTTCAAAACTGAAATAGAAAAAACTAAAGTAATAAAATGTTTTCAGCTCTAAGGGGCCAAAGTTGAATGTGAATTGCTAAGTATCTGTAGAAACTAAAAATCTAAAATCAGTGGTACAAAGAACTTATACAAAGAACTTATTCTTATACATTTTCAAACATCCATACTTATTTTGAATCTCCAAACAACCTTGCATAAGTAGTAAGTAGGCATTCAAATTTGCAGATTTTTTTTTTAACTTTATATAGTACAGAGATCATGACAGTTGGTTCACCTATGGGTTAAGTGAAACATTTAAACTTTTTGTTAAGTGGTATCTAAACTTTTGCATGCAGTTATATGCATTTTTATAATATTGATATTCATTGGATATCCACTAATTTGAATAGAACCTGTGGTTTGTTGGGTTGTCCTTTCTGAGTATTATTGTCACTCCATTACTTTCCATGGTCTCATGCCATAATGAGTATATCATGCAATAATCTAATTTAAAGTGGTCCATTCCAGTCCCCCTAAGGTTCACTTTATGATATCTTCAATTTAGTACAGGTACTTGCTTAACAATGGTAATTGAGACTGGCAACTCTGTTGTTAGGTGATGCAGTCATAAAGCATGATGTCATATGACTGCACCGACTTGCAGTAGCAGTTCCAGCAGTCCCAGTTGCCATTGTTAGGCAAATCCCATGCGGTCGCAGTGTCCCATGGTCACATGATCACCATTTGTGACCTCCTCATTGCTGGCAGTGAAGGTTGCAAATGGCAATCATGTGACTGTGGGACACTGCAACCATCGTAATTGCAAGCCAGTTGCCATCTCAATTTCATGACTGTGGGGATGCTGCAATGGCCACAACTACAAGAAACGGTCGTAAGTCCCCCTTGTTCAATGCCGTCGTAATTTCAAATGGTCGCTGAATGAGTGGTTGTTCAGTGAGGACTACCTGTATGCTTGATTTTCACTTTGACACTCTGAAGTTTTCCTTGGTTCAAGCTTCTCACGCTCCATGTTTTTTGAAAAGCAAGGAATTCCACAGATCTGTGAAGAAACAGATACTTGAAAAATATGGAATGTAAAAAAATAAGATTAGAATGTAAGATTTCTGAGGAAAAGAAATCACAGTGTAATATCATTTACCATCTTTATTCTGAACCAGAACTATTTGTCTGACAATAGCAACAAGAAATAGTTATTTCAAACATGATTTTAAAAACTAGTTCTAGCTATAGTGTAATAATTTGGGTTAAAAAAATAACATTTATATACTTTTTTCCTTAGGAATATGTGTATCGATCCAGAGTTGAGCCTGAAGCTAAAGGTGCTTTCGGAAACATATTTACATACACTTTTAGGCCTTGATGATGACCAGCTGGTAATTATTAGTAAATCTTTTCTGTAAAAACATTAAGAATAATAACTTTCTCCAAAGATACTCTGAAAAGAATTTTGCTTAATATTTATTTATAGCCCACTTTTGACCAAAGAGTCATGGGAAAAACAATTCCTTAATCCTTATTTCCAAAGACTTTATAACCTAAACACAGTTAAGTAAATTTCATCAAACTCAGATGTACAAATGTAACTGCCACAGGCTGGCTTACCCAGGGCTGTGCAGTATGTATGTGTACATGGGATTAAATAAATAAAATTCCACTCTAGGAAAATATGGTGTAGAAAATAAGCGAAGTGGGGAAAGATAAATTATTTAATTTGGTGGCATCTTAAATTATATTGTTTTGGCCCTCGTTTTTTCGTATTCAGTATAAATAAAAAGTATACACGGTAAATGAAATCCTTTCATTCGTCTTCTAAATAGCTGAGACTCTTCAGATTGTAGGTGCTGGAAATGAGGCATAGAAGGAAGGACCATTAGCAGTTGGCACAGTTTGATGCCTCCTGCAATGAAACAGTGCCATGTAGATTATGAAATGTGGATAGTGACTTCCCTTCATCTTTCTTGCGAAGTCTTGCAAGACTTTTGCACTGGGGAAACCTATGGAACTCAACATCTTAGTGGAAATTAGTGATTGGAAGGAAGTTTAATTATGCTGGAGGGAAGAAAAGAAAGGTATTGCTTCTTGCCTGCAAAGAACTGAGCAGTAACTACAGGAACTCAAAACTCTGCTATTTTGGCCACATTATTGCCAAATAATTTATGTAATGGCTGTACTTCAGTTTCCATACCATATGTATTCTTATTCCTTCTTTTTTTTAGCTTGTGGCAATTGTTTTCTCTACCTACTGAGGAAAATTAAGAGTATAGGTGTATTTCTTTTTAATCCATTCCAGGCTACTTCAGTCTATCAATTTCACTGTTTATTATTTGTTTGATTAATTCAATTAAAATAGTGTAATAACTGAAACTGGGAATTAAATTATTATTCGTGGGGGTAAAATCCTATACTGGAATTATCAACACAAGAAAAATGAGAATGAATGACATGAATAGTATTATCATATTTTATTTATCTGTACTTTACTATCCCTGTCTTTCCTATTTTAATGTAACATCATTTGTGCATTTATTTTTCAGATGACCTTAGAGTTATGTGATAAAGCATGGGACTTTTATAGCACTAATCTAAAGAGAATGTGCTTTGAGTAAGTATACACTTACTTTTAATATATAATCAGATGAAAGTATCTATTATGTGATACATTTATAACATCTTATGCCAGGCTGCTATAGTAAACAGAATTAATGTTCAGTTCCAGGTGTTCATTTGCTGACATAGTAGCCATAGGTTGAGCAGAAGAATACCCCTAGATCTCATTCTAGCATAAATCACCACTACTGAGACTATATTCTTTAAGGATTAGTTTATTGAAGTAACTAATAAAACAATCTGGTGTTCTCCTAGTTATACATGTGCTAGAGCAAATTATAGTTTAAACCAGTGTTTCTCTACCTTGACAACTTTAAGATGTGTGGACTTCAACTCCCAGAATCCCCCAGCCAGTGGGGAATTCTGGGAGTTGAAGTCCACACATCTTAAAGTTGTCAAGGTTGAGAAACACTGGTTTATATCAACAGATGGGTACCATGTTATGGAAGATGACAGTGACTTGGATGGTCCAGTTCTATATATTTTATTTGCATATGAATATGAAATTAGGCTGAATTTTTATTGTTGATCTCCCTGTTAGTCACATGTGTCACAATAGGGGAATTTTCTCATCCCTGAGTTAAAGTGCTATCCACCGGTCCTTGAACCAGCAGAAACTATACTGTACCTGTACCCACTCACAATTACTCTATCCACTGGCAGTTGCTAGCCTTCTAAAGGCACAGTGATGGTAAATGGTGATGTCCTTATTTATGATGTACAGAGAATGTTCAGGACAGGGATTGGTGGATTCCCTCCCCTCCCAGAAAATCTCATCAAGCAGTAGGAAAACATTAGCTAATCAGGAAGCCCTGGAGGAAGTAACTCATGCACGTATCTCCATATGCCTGGACTATTGTGCTGTGTTCTATATGGGACTCTCTTTGAAGACAGCTCTGAAGTTGGAGCCAGTACAAAATGCAGCAGCCACCTTAACAGCAAGAAAAACCCATTACTGCAGGATAACATAAAATAGCACCTATTATATGTTGCTGCACGGCTGGCCAAGAAACTTCTGGGCCCATGTGAAAGTGCTAGTTAATCATCTATAAACCTGTGGTATAATATCTGGGTACATTAGGGAGTGATTTATCTAACATGTTTCTTCCTGCTTTGCGAGGGTATTGCCTTGGCATTAAATGAGAGGAGCATGGACTAGAAGACAGACCTTCTCAGTAATTGCTCCATGCTGCTCCTAGAGGTACACCTGATCCCCTCACTTCTGTTGTTCAAGAAGATGTTGAAAATCTTTTTGAACAGTCATTTGATGTTCAATACCTAGTACTGTATTGTGGGGGCCAGCTTGTTGGTGTTATTTTTTAAATTGAGTTTTAAGGTTGTTTTCACAATGTGAAGGTATTGTTAGCCACTTCTTTATATGGTGGTTTTATACATGGCCCAAAATCTTTGGATTGGGCATCAGTATAAAGATTACTGTAATAAATAAAATAAATAGATCACTCTTCTCAAAATGGGTTGGGGCTCAGATTGGGGAGGAGATGCGAGACTTCTCACACTGCCAGTAAAAAACAACCTAACCTATTCCATCATATTATTATGAGAGTAATACACCACTGAGGCTATTTGGAGAAAATACCGAACAGAAATTTAATGAATTCAAATTATGAATTTGACTGACTTAGTATTCTGGTATTATAGGAGAAGGCATTGAGATGGAGTAGTTGAAATAGAGATTTTAGCATCCTTGTTTTGATGTATGACATCTATATTGATGGCTCATTTTTCTATAAAATAAAGATTACTAATGTTTAAGATAACATTTTATGCTGTTAATCAGGACAGTATACAAAATTTGTGAACCCTTTTGAATTTTCAATATTTCTGCATAAATATGACCTAAAACATCAGTTATGTCTGCTCAATGGCATATCTAATGTATTTGACACCCGGAGCAGATTCTTTTTTAATGCACCCCTCCTCCATTGCTGCTGCAGCTGATTGGCAACTCCACACCTGCCACTCACCCTCTGGATAGCCTCCTCATCCTCAAGTTGCCAGACAATGCTCTCCCTTACTGTCTGCACCACCCCAACATTTGAAAATCACTGCTTCTGCTTCACTTCCTAGGTATATTTTGAAACCACTTTCTTCTGTTAGATTATTTATGGTATTTAACTTAAAAGTAGTACAGTTTTATATGTAATAGTAGAATTTTGTTAGGAAAGTAATTGTGGGTTTAATTATGGATATGTTCTAAATTTAATTTATTGTTTTGTATAACATTTTGACTCTGAACAATAGTAAAACAATAAAAGCATGTCAGACCTCTTTCAGTGCATGTAGCCAGGGACATCCAGAGGGGAGAGCAAAAAGTCATGATGGCAACTGTGACAGTGAAATCAAAGCCCTGGCCCTTCATGCAGAGTGCCCATTAAATAAATGTAGGTCTTTGATCACACAGTTGTGGTAACCAACTTGACTTTTCTGACTCCTCTGCAGATACCCCTCCATCTAGCATAGGATGCAAAGGTTTTTCCAAACAACTGTACATAGGAACATCTTTGCCATCTCTTCCTTGCCTCACAAGGTTGATTAAAATTGATTAATCATTAATCAACAGTATTGATTCTTCTTAGTCATAACAGAGTACTGTATGTGGAAAAACTGTTAACGAAGTCTCATTAGCGAAATTGACTTCTGATATGAACTTTCATACTCCAGAAGTGTTAACCAAGGGTTTTATTCTGAATCTGTAGCTAAAACACATACAGTGGTCAAATCCTAGCACTGCAATGCAGAAGAAATTTCTCTCACAAATTCACCCAGGAAGTTGTTTAAAACAGAGATTAGTACACAATTCCACTGAAGCACAAATTAATTATTACAGTACAGGAGGCAGCAAAAGTGAACCTCAACATTTTAGAAAGAGTTATACAAATTAGAATATATGTACAATTGACCAGTGATTAGATGATCCATGCATATGGTTAGTGTGATCAGGTATGAGGTGGATTCTGTAGGTTAATGGGGTAGAACTACAGAAACAATGGTATATTCAGAGAAGAAAGATAGTATTCTCATGAAGTTGGTTTCTCATACAGCAACATTCAATGTAAAAGTCACTGAATATAAAATATTCATTAAACAACCAGTAGTTGAAATGGCAACAAAACCAAACCACCTATAATACTTAAATTGTCATAACAGCAAACAACTATCTGGCTTCTTTTTAAATAAAAAAATTATAATGTAAAGTATTTAGTGTGGTGGAACAAAATGCTTATTCAATTGCAGCTTTATGTTTCAAAGAAAACATAGGTAAAAAACTTATGAATGCATGATCTATTGTTGCTTAACCATTGCAGCGCATGGATCAAATATTGTGAAATGAAGAGGGCTGCTGAAAAACTGCTACAGAAAAAGTTGGCATTTGCAAGACACCATTATACCAGCAAACTACTAAAATTAATAATAAGGAAATGGAATGATTGGGTGAAATTTCACAAGCAAGTGCAGAAACGTAAGCATATTACAACAACAACAATAATAATAATATATTAGACTTGTATGGCACCCAACTCTCAACAACCCTGGGCAGCTCACAACAATCAAACAAACAAATTAGAATAAAATCAATAAAATCATAAAAGATAAAAATAAAAGATGGCAAGCGTAATGAAGTGAGGGATCTCATTCTCCCTTGCCAAAGGCCTGGGTGAAGAGCTAGGTTTTTATGGCTCTTCTACACAACGGCTGAGTGGGGGCCATCCGGATCTCAGGCGGAACCTCTTTCCAGAGGACAGGTGCTGCTACAGAGAAGGTGTGTTTCTGGGGTCCTGATAGATGACATTGTTTAATCAAAGGAACCTGGAGCACACCAATCCTGCAGAATTTAATTGGGCAGATGTCATGGGAGACAGGTGGTCCATCAAGTAAGCAGGCCTTATGCCTTGTAGCGCTTTATAGGTAACAACCAGCACCTTGAATCACACCTGGAAGCAAACCAGCGACCAGTACAGCTCATGAAGCAGAGGTGTTACGTGGGCATACTGAGACATGCCTATTACTGCCTGTGCTGCTGAATTCTGAACCAGTTGAAGCTTCCAGGTGATATTCAAGGGCAGCCCCATGTAGAGCGCATTGCAGTAGTCAGGCTGCGAGGTTTACTAGGGTATGAATGACTGTCTGAAAGGCCCCCCCAAGGAAAGGCACAACTAGCACACCAGTTTAAATTGTCAGTTTTTAAATTAGAGACACGGCATTTGGTACAGTTCAGACCTCAGTTGCACTGGGTAAAATTGCATGCAATAATATATAACAATTTAAATGTGCAACCAGATATGTGTCTGTGGACACCCCTGCAACCTGCATCAGGGTTTAAATACATTTCCTTCCCATTTCCTTCTAAATAGTTGGGAGAAGAAAGAAACCTGAGCTTAATTTCATTCTGGGAGATTCCTGTCTCCTAGTTTCATGTGAAATAGGATTTTAAATAAACTCTGATTGCTAAACAAACCAGTTTTATATCCTGGACTCTCTAGTGTGGTTTAGCAAACTCAAGTACATTTAAATTACAATGTTTGTTTCACATGTACAAATGGAGCAAGATTTTATTCAAATGAAATTAAGCCTAGTTTAGTCCCTCTGCCAATTGTGTGGGAGGACAAGGGAGTCCTACTTCTGCATGTAACCCTAAAGTATGGCTTACAATTATATGCAATATGGCCGATGCATGATTGTATTTACTGTTAAAAGAAGAATACTATTTTTAGTTTTGGCAGCAGAAAAACAAAATGCTAGTTAAAAAAGAAGGGACTTTTTTTAGCAAGTACATGAAAAATGCATTTGTAGATGTTCTGTCCCTTAATAGATCTATCTTAAACATGAATATACAATTCTGTTGGAGGACTTGTTTCATAATACGGTATTTCAATTAAATATGGCTGTTAGTAGTGTTTTTAATAAATCCTGTTTATAAATATTTAAACATTAAAATATTTATGAGTTCAAGAACAAAATCGTATTTAGTCAATGTAAACTTCTGTATCTAGTGTATATTATATACCTAAAATCTGAACTAAATTCTTCTTCTTACTAGTTAAAAAGGGGTTATAGTAACTTCTACGGAATCCCTAATGAAAATTGGCTTTATGTCACCACAGTCCTTGGGTTGCCTGTCTGTGCTTCCATACATCTTATCACAGTGTACACATGGTTAAAGATGGCTATATTAAAAGGAGATCTAAAATGCTATGTTCTTGTTGCCTCCAACTTTCCATCTATCAATTGTCATGCGTGTAAACTTGAGGAGATTAAATCTTGAATTGATTGTTTCTTCTAAGACTCCAGTTGAAAACATTTGGGTTTGATATTAACATAAAAAAGGCTTTTCAAAGGGAATGGAACCCTGGTGCCACCCACCATGCCACTTGAAAGGGTGGGGTGAAGCTTTCAGAGTTTGATTTTACATTTAAGGATGGCTGTTGAGTGAAATGAGTGCCTTAATCCTTGCAGAAAACTGAACCCCTTCCCCTCAAATCCAGCCAATACCATTTTGGACATCTTAAGTCCAACTACAAGTCCAGAACGCTTTTCACATATACTGTAACGAAGCCAGATTTCCTCCATCTTTCGCCATGCAATTTCTATCTTTTTCCTATGTACAGATCTTTCCAGAATGTCATTCTCTTATTTTCAGCCCACTTTTCTAATTTATCAAGATTGTTTTGAATGCTGTTCCTGTTGTTTAGAATGTTTGCCAAACCACACAACTTTGTATCATTTGCAAACTATTTTGAGAATTTCTATAATGAGGTGCAGAAATAACAAGTAACAAACAAGTAAACATTTTATAAATATTCCTTTCACCACTTCATCCAAGTTATTAATAAAAACCTTGAAGAATACTAGAACCAGATCTTGCAGTGTCCTATTCAATGTCTCATTCCAATGTCATGAGAAATTGTGAATGAACATTCTTTGATTACCATTTTCAGGCCACAGTGGATCCACTTAATACATCTACCATCCAGCTTATATTTGCTAATCAAAGGATCATGAAGTTCTTTGCTAAATGCTTTGCTAAAATCAGGATGTATTACATTGACTATATTCCCACGATGTACTATGGAAGTTATCCAGTAAAAAAATAAGTATAATTTGCTTTATGTTCTGCTGCTCTAGAACCTTCTTTCAACCTTCTATTTGATTATTCTGGATGGATAGATAGAGATATATGTAGACATATATCTTACAAGATACAATATTCCTTTGGCTTTTAGAAAGATCAGTCTATCAAAATTGCACTTAATTTAGTTGCTTAGGCATGATATTATGAGTCTTTTAAACTGAAACATCAACACATTGTGAACAGATTAAGATTTCAGATGTAACACTGATAACTAAAGCTGCAGTGCTAGTATATACAAACTTATCTAGATGCAAAATTCATTGAACTCAGTGATGCTGTATTAATTCATAGGACTGTATTGCAATCCTAAATTCAACTGTCTAGGACTAAGCCCTATTAAATCGAGCTGACATGTATAAGATTGCCTGTTAAACTTAAAAAGTGCGTAGTCACAATTCAGCTCATATGAAAGGATGAAAAATTCATGGATCAAATACAGCTGAAACTGTAGCAGAAAGCAACTCTTTGAACGGAGAAGAACGAGAGGAACAAGTTCAACTGATGATAGTGGCAACCTGAGATACTGATGATATTGTGCACAACTAGAGTTCAGAAATAGTTTTCAGATCCTTGCAGTAGAAACTGGCTCTGAACCTGAAGGTGAGGAACAAAAGGCCATTCTAAACAGAAATGAACATCCAAAGCTCTGAAGAGTCAGGGAGTTCTAAAAAAAAAAAAAAAAAGCAAAATAGCAAGCCATTCCCATAAGAAAAACAAAATATAAGATATTAGAAGAAAACTGTTGGTGAAGGTTGGTGAAGACAAAAAGAGCACATAAAAGAATTGGAAAGATGAACAGGTAATTGAGGAAGAATATACACCAGTAGGCCACAAAAATGTTGTTATTTATTAAGTATTTTATGGCCATCCACTCCTGAAGATTTTCAAGATGTTCTAGAGATGTTGTCAGAAAAGCTAAAGCTCAAAATAATCTGAGGCTGGTGTAGGATGGTAAGAATAACAATCAAAGCTTCTTTAGATACAATGTACCAGCTATTTAAGGAAGATGACAAAAGTCTTAACAGATCACAAAAAAAGGAAAAAACTATTTAGCTCTTATTTTGGCTTAGTCTTCTCCAAGTAAAGGTAAATATTCCATCAAAGCAATTGTGAAGAACAGCTTGAAGAACAAGGATTCCAGTTTGAGCTTGGTAAAATATTCTCATGAAATACATATTGACTTGAATGCATTCAAATCTCCATTATTTTTGGAAGTAACCTGCTGATTATCTGGCCAAGCATCTATTCATTACCCTTGAGAAATCCTGGAGAATGAAGAAATGCTAGAAGACAAATCTTATTCCTATTTTTAGAAGGGGGGTGAGCAGGAGGATCCAGCAAATTGCAGACCATTCAATCTGATATTAATATTTGACAAGGTTATTCTGGATGGACAATCTATCCATCCAGAATAACCAAATAGAACAATTTCAGAAAAAAATGCAAAGAGCATGTAAAGGAGAATATTTCTAACAAGTAGCCATAAATGTATTATACATGTGATACAACCAGTGAAATATTACTGGTATAAAACATTAAATATGTTTATTTCATATCTAAATCCATTAACCCTATTCTCTTACATTTATAAAACTACTTTAAAATCTGGTTCACCATGGTTGAAAGAAGCTTGAGTGGAACTATGATTTTACATTCTGATTTAACAAAATCAAATTAGAATGAAAAAGATTTCCTTTATTCATCTGTAAGGGGAAATGGAGGCAACATTTAAAACATCAACAGATTTACTTATTAAACCGTCTTCTTTATCTGAACCAAACAGTAATGATAGCTTCAAAAAAAATCTGTGTTTTTCAAATTATTTTCTCCTAGGGGCAATAAGAAAGATAAGAAAAATCTTTGAAACTACGTTGAAGAATATGATCTTTAAGGCCTGGCGAAAGCATGCTATTTCAACTAGAAAGCCTAAAAAGTCTATAGAGGTAAGCATATTTTAGTTAGTATTGTGCTTTCCAAAAGAAGCATTGATATAAATTCACTTTTAAATCTGTTTTCATTTGATATATTTAACAGAGAGCCAGTTTGATCTAGTGGTTAAGGCTCTAGGTTAGAAACCAGGAGACGGTGAGTTCTAGCCCAGCCTTAGGCATGAAAACTGGCTGGGTGACTTTGGGCTAGTCATTCTCTCTCAGCCCTGATGTCAGGCTTGGGTGACAAGCCAGTCAGTCAACTCCTGTCGCAATCAACGGATCAACACCCAGTTGATCCAAAGAAAACGTGGACCCTACACATGTGGGAAAAATGCTAGGATGAAAAAAAAATTGATATATTTAACTACCAAAGTTAACTGCTGCTGATTAAACAATTTAAGTGATTAATTAAATGGAATATATAATATGCAGTTTAAAATACAATTAAATATAGAGTAATTGTGTTCCATGCTACCTTCTTAAATCTTGATTAGCCTATATGACATCTATTAGGAAAATTGAAAGATCAGCATACGTAGGACAGTTTAAACAGAAAATTCTGGCCATCAGAATTAATGGTACCACTTTAAATGTTGTGCTTTGTGATAAAGGGACAAAAAAATGCAGGGAATATCACCTTCACTTAGACAGCGTTTTAGTATAGATTCTCATACTGTACTTTCAAACTTGTAATAACATTTCCATGCTTACGCGTAATAACCAGTATTACAACTATAACTGTCATAACTTCTGACTCTTAGATGTCTTCTTTGTGCAAATCATATTTGTTGTGGTGGATTTTGGATCTTTAATCAAGTACTACGTCTCCATAGCATTAAAAATTATTTACATTTGCTACATTTTCATTGTTGTTGTTGTTTGAATTGGTACAAAGTCACTGTATAGAGTAGTCATTCAGAAAGTTCTAGGGGGACCTGAAGTCTCTAGGACTGAGTAGGAGATCGTGCCAGTGTATGCCTTTAAGTGGAGGACCAGTACTCTCTCCTTCATACCCGTATAACTTTTCAACAATTATCTGAACAAAATAAAGCAACAAGAATTTCAGAAATTTCATCACTTCTCAATGTGAAGATGTTAGCTTGAGAAGGAATGGTCATACAAAATTATAATGATTATGAGACTTGAGGCAGGATACAGATTAACTTACTGGCATTTTTCAATCATTGTTAGCCACTGTTAAGAATGTTGACATTAAGGCGCTCTGTCTTTCTCTGAATGCTGTGATTGGGGTGGGAAAAATTGGTCTCATTGCAAAAGTAATTCTGCTTGAGGACAGACCCATTAGTTACTGAACTCATACTCTTCTTTCACTCACTTCCCTCCCCAACCCACCATGGGGTTTTCCATAGATGCTGAACATTTGTTTCAGCTTTTTGATGACTATCACAGCACCATCATTTACTGCACACCAAAAATCTGCAAAAACAGACAGGCAAGAAATAGGAAGCTCATGTTCAGAATAGTGCACCCTCAGTCCCATCTGCTTTGTCCTGAGCAAAGGAGAATCTGTTCCCGCTCTGTCCCTGTGAGGTACATCCTAGACAGATCTCCTATTTTCATGTGCTTTTTTCCTCTTTACTTCTTGGCATCATATTTCTTCCCATGGCTTCCATCAGTTTTGAAAATACTTCCAATACTACAGTATTACAATACAAAAGTATTTATACCTCTTGCCTTATCCTATTCTGAAATGGAAAGTGGAAAATGTGCATATGTTACTTGAGAATGAGGAGCACATTCACATTTCCCTAGATTCAAAAAAGCTTATACCCTGTTGATCATCTGAATATGTCAGTGGATTGGAACTGCTTGTTTTTCCTTCAGGAAGCATTGGGTATTATGAAATGGGAGTAATTACACATTTCCTTGGATGAGAGTGATGTACACTTTTCCAACTGTTACCAGTGTCTCGCTATGTTGTAATGCCATAAAGTAGAATGCAATAGGAAGCAGGAACCCAAAGCTAGAACCTCAACTGGTGTGGCTTCCACTGATCATCTTCCAGTGGGGCAAGTGTGGTACAAGGTTTCATAGCTTTGTTTCACTCAGCATTAAATGATACTCTTGCTTGAAATACAACTCAGGAATCATTACTAGTTTCTTTAATTATGCTTTAGGATGGTTTTAAATTTTGCTGACTTTCCTTCTGTTTTTCCCCAAGGGGCTAGACACAGAAAATAAACTTCTTTATGAAACAGCTGTATTTTCATGAATCATCTACCTTCTTCCTTGGCTTTGATTCTTTGCGACAACATTGTGTTCCTTAACTTTTCTCCTAAAAAATGCATTCCTTTTTCCAATGATTCTGTGATTTTGTTTTTGTATCTTTGAAGCATTCCAACAAAAGATCTTACTTTTCCTATCCACCAAAAGTGTAGATACTAAGTCTTTTCATACCAGATCAGTGGAAATGCATCTTTTATCTTCCTCTAATGTGAAATGAGGAAGCCTTTTAAGGCTTGTGGGCATATTTGGGATTCCAAGGAAATGTCAGGGAAAATGGTCTCCATTGGAATACAGTCTTTTATAAAATGGGATGGGGCACATAAACATGCTTAATTTGATTAACATAAATAAACGTATTATTTATTTCAGTTCTCTCCATCTTTCTCCACATAGACACATACGCCTCTGTACAAAGACAGACAAAATGCCTCTCCAGACAAACACATCTCTGTACATATTTATACAAACCTCACAGATTCATTTTTAGTTACATATCCTGATGCACATATATATCTCCAAATCTGCACAAATGTCTCCATATTGACAAATCTCTCCATTCACAGTTCCTACCACATATTCACCCACCAGATCTGGGGTGCAAATAGCTAGATGACCATGACTTTGGCAGCAAAGAGATTCAGAAAATGCAAACTTTTTGCTGCCATTTAATGGTCACCAATATTCTTGCAGAACTGATAACCCTAAACCAAAAGAATGCAATTTTGTTTCTCCTGCCTCCTCCTGCCCCCTAGTCTTGCCACTTCCTTCTGCGCCCTGCCCTTGCTGCTATTCCTCTTTGACCTTCCCCTTGTTCCTGTTACATTCCCTTGACCTCATCCCATCCACCTTGTTGCCTCTCTCCAGCCAGGTGAGAGAAATACTGGGTTACCCACAGGCATTGCCATATCAACCGGAGCTCTAACGATGCTTTGTGCACAATTAGATTCCTAATTAGGGAATTATGCGTAACTGCAGAGAGACTCCAGAGAAGAAATGCAGATTGTTTATTTATTCGATTTACATCCTGCCTTTTTTTTTTTTTTTGTACAACTCAAGTTGGTCTTGGACCAGAATGGGTGACGTACCACTTGTGAGTTGTCTGATTTGTGTCATGTTCTTCTCCAGATTTTTTTTTTTTTGTCTTGTATGGATTATTTTATTTTAAACTCTGTATGTTGTACACAGCCCAGAGTTGTAATGGAGTTGAGGGGCTTATAAATTTAATGCAAAAACCCATAAAATAGTGCTGCTTCCTCATGTTTTCCTCACAACAACAACCCTAGGAGGTGGGCTGGGCTGAGAGTGACAAGCCCAAGGTCAGCCAGCTGGCTTCCATGCTTAAAGGAGAACTAGAACTCATGGTATCCTGGTTGCTAGTCCAGCGCCTTAATCACTGATAAATCTGTGACTACAAAAATAGGTCACAGGTAATAGGTTTAGTAAATAAAAAGCTCAATTGCAATAATAATATAATATATACATTTTTTATGACTTAACTCTTTTTAGTATCCTGTTGTATGTAGCATGTACCTTCATTTACTGTATAATGGTATTATCTATTAATATTAAATGATTATATATTATTGTATTATGTTACGTTACATATTTCAGTCTTAAATCTGAGTGATAGCCTGATCTTGACAATATTTAAGTTCTACTCAATGCTCTCCAAATAAGAATCCACTGGATTGCAGTCTAAGTTGATTGATTAAGTAGAAGTAATTTTATCCTACTGTTTTGTTTTACTTAAAGGCTGTCAAGGTGACTTATAAAACTGAGCCTATAATGGCTTAGACCAAGGTAATGTTAAAATGCATATTTGCATGTAAGGTGCATTTTTTTTTCTTTTAAATTGTATTGGCAACAGATTCTGAAAAAGGCATGGAAAGGCAGCTTAGTCCTTTCTTCCCCTTGCTTGAGATCTCAGCTAATGCTCATCGTGCATGAATCTCTTTCCAACAGTTGCTTTAGCATCAGAAAAGTTTTTTTTCTTCTTCTCATAAGTACAGAGGTGATGGGAGGGTTAAGTTATCCCTTCATGCATGCCTTAATCACATTAATCATCATACACACACACAGCTGCAATTTGTACTTGCCCATATGTTTAACAAACACATAATTTCTTCCTTAATTAGATTTGCCAGACAAATCACACTACAGTTTGAGTGAAGAAATGTTACTTGAGTTATCTTATATGTTTGTATTTTGTAGCCTATGTCAGAATCGGACGATCTTTTTTTTGTTGAAAGCTCCCACAATGAAGCACGCGAAAGACGACATTCTGAGAAACGTCGTTCTGCTGTGCCGCATAAACATGTGATGGAAGAAGGCTTACCCATATTCCACATGAAATCAGGCAGAGACCATTTCGCAAAGATGCTTACACAGCCATTATCCCAGGTGGTTGTTACTACAGTCCCTTTATTAAGTGGCTATGTAACGCCTTGCTATATTTAGGAAAAATTGAAAAATCCCTGTTCCGTCTCTTTTCTTTTCTGTTTCTGGTATTCGCTGCTTTTTCCTGGTTTCAAAGTACAGGCTAGGGTGGCTGATGCCAGAACAGACAGGTTTTGGACTGAAGCTACTATAAAATGTATAAAATGGGGCAGCAGCAGTGGCAGTAAGATATGGTGAGACCTGTCTCGCTGGATTTTCTCCTGTCACCACAGGGCTCTCTCCATCAATTGCCATGTGCAAAGAGGGGAAAGCCTATGTCTGGGAGAAAGAGGGAGCAGGCAAAATCCTTTGTAGAGTCAGCTGTAGGCTTGTCCTCTCATTATGCAGGACAGGAGCGTCTGCAAGAATCAAAAAAGTGGAGATGAAGCCTTCCTCCCTGCCCGGGCCTCCGGGAATTCTTGTTATGATTCAGTATTGTTCATGTTTCTTATAAGAAGGATTTGATTCCTGAATGGCAAGAATTATTTTTATGGATAATGGTAAACAAATGGAAATGTTATTTAATATATAAAAAATAATATCTCAACTCCAAGTGGGAGAAAGATTGGAAAGCCGATATCCTTCATTGATCTATGACTGTATTTCATTTTTTTGTCTCCAAAAGTCAGGAGCTGTTTGTTGGATAAGGTGCACTTTAGGTTTAATTGCTACTGAAGCAGACAGACAAAATACTTGATTCCTCTTAGCAAATCATTATAGAATTAACAGTTCTCTTTCTTCTATCTTTTGATCACCATTCTGATTTTATTTGCAACACTTAACTTGTACTTGTAGAGGTTTAGCTAATATAGTAAAAGGATTTTATTCAATCAGTTTCCATCTTGGCAATTACATACAATAGATGTATGTATTCAATAGATGCCTTTGGATAAAATTATGTAATGCTCCTATGGGGGTGAGAAGAGAAACAGTCCAGATGGAGCAGACTCCAAGGCAGATATGATTCTTCTCTCTTTGTAGGGATCTTTTCTCAAGAGAGCACTTGATGGTAATGGCCTTTTGCAGGGAAGGGGAGGAGAGGGGAAGGAACAATCTGGCTGGAGTAGGCTATGAAATGGACTTTACCTGCCTTCTTCTCTCTCTTTTCTGAAATTCTTGCAACAGAAGAGTTGTGTAAGGGTTAAGATGGGTGAGGCAAAAACCCGTAGCTTCAGAGCCATCAAGGATCCTACCAAGAAATTCAGAAGGATGGGAAGAATAAATCCTAGGGGTGTAAAAGTTCTTTGCGTGCTCCCTCTGGTGATGGGAACTAACTGTATGGCTCCATTCTTATCTGCAGTAAAAGTTCTAATGTAGTTGTTCCTGGGAGTTTTTAGCCAAGTCAAGCTGAGGAACTTAGCTAAGCCATGAAGTGTCTGGAGATCTGTGACTGAAGCCTGATAACTTGATGGTGATGATTGTAGAAGAAAAAGGGGGCAGCCAGGGTGGAACTGGCTCTGTAGTACAATTTGCTAGCTTTTGTTCCTCTTTCCTTTTTGTGTCCCTTTCCTGTGAGTGGGTTCTGAGGTAGACATTCCTTGGCTTTCTCCTTTTCTGTTCTGGGATCCTACTTGTGGAGCAGCTGGTAGTAGTGGCCTGTTGAGGGTGCAGAAGAGTTCAGCTGGAACAGGCTTGCAGGTGGACCTCATTTGCCTTCTTCTTCCTCTCTCCTTCCCATAGAACACTTGGTGATAATGCTGAGGGGCGGGGGGGGGGGGGGGGAAGAGCAAGAGATAATCAGGTGCAGCATTATGGCATTCCCAATATAGAATCATTAGCTAAAACAAAATGAAACAAAGTACTTCTTTTTATTACTTAAAATAATATTTTATAGCACTCTAATACAATTGACTAACTGTACTAATAGTCAATTGTAAGAACATTTTTAAAA